TTCAGATAACCATTTACAAAATAGTGAAAATACATTTTTTAACTTATCAAAACATTATGCAAGGCTTCAAATCTTGGTTTCGATCATTCAAAATCTTTTTTCCTACATTTCAAACATTCTAACAGAGTTTCAACCTTTTATAGGCTTCAGAATAAAGTATGATATTTATCCCATAGCAGAATGCTACACACTATATATCAAATCCTCCAAAAGCTTAATGGATTTGGAGACTCGTTCAAAGAACATTGAGTAACCCCAAGCAAACCAGAAATATGAGATTTCAATTAAAATCTAAATACTCCAGGCTACTGCACACACTTCAGGAAAACCTTCAAAATCTATTTGTCACAGGTACAGACTGTGTACAGCAGTGAGTCCAGCAATGTAAAGCAGCGAGGAGCCCCAAGGAGCCATGGACAGGATGTTATCTCATCCAGGGAGATAGGAAGTATGTACAAAAAAAATCTAGAGGGAGGGGGAGGACAGGGCCCATTTGGGAAGTGCAGAGTAAACAGTCTCGGTTTTTAATCATCCCGGCTCACGTTCGGAACTGGACTCACTTTGATGTTCTCCCTCAGCGGCCCCCCTCCGCCCTCCCATCCCTCGATCCCAAACGGCTGTGCTGAGGGCCAGCCAGGGGGGAAACATGCAGAAAGTGTCCTCGGACAGTCGAGGGAGGCACACAGTGTCTTGTGGGACACCGAGAAGGGAGATGAAAGAATGCAAAGTGCAGAGTAAACTGGTGTTCAGTCAATTGCTAGGCCTGCCTTAATTATAGCTGGTGTATTTAAGTGAGCTCTCAAAGGTCAATGCAAAATTTCAAAGTAAAAAGCTACAAAAATACGACGTGAGAAAAGAAAAAGTCCGAACTGTCTTTAATTGAAAACAGGTGGAATTTTTATGATGTCTTTTAATCGGGTACAATGCCTGTAGGAAGATAAAGAATTGACAATCCTTTCAAGTTTGAGGTTTTCCCTCAAGCCTTTGCACTTCTCTTGTACTTGTATTTGTCCAAATAGTGCTGGCCAGACCCCAGCCAGTGTTCCAATGAACGTGTTCATTCAGAGGACAGGGCAAACTTCCAGGGAGATCACAGTTTTAATAGATCAGAGGGAAATGCGCACCAAAGCGAAGCCTCATCGCTTGAATACACAGACAGAGACTGAGAACCTTTCCAACACCCTCTACTTTGAGTCTGGACCTTACATGCATTACCAGACGGGATTAAAACAGATTCTCGTAGTAAAAGCAACAGCTCATGCTCTATCTTTAGAAAAGGTTATACCTCCAAAATTTAATTTAGACTAACATGTTTCTAAAATGCCAAGTATAAACTGTATCTTATCAAAACTGGTTGCCATGTTTCAGCATGGTTCAGAGTAAAATCTGGAGGAGCTTCTGTAACTCCTTCTTGGTACTTTGCCTGACTACCAGATGAAACTTTTGCCCCACAATAGATATCTAGAGCTCTGGTTTCATGGTTATTAAGATGCATTAATCGGCTGGAGAGCACTATCACAGCGGACAGATCGTAATCTGTGATTGAAAGGGGACATTGTGAGGCAGCGTATATATCTATGGATCTCCACCTCCTTTCCAGCCTTCAATCCCCTCGTCCACTGGAAGACAAGAACATTAAAGCAGCGACTGCAGAGCAGCTTGCCTAGGCAATAAGGACCTGTTCGAACAGGCCTGCGCTGCACAAAGAGCATCCTGCAGCACAACACCACCTCTGTGCACTGTGGGAAGAGAGAGTTGGACAAAACTATACCTTCCAAACCTTGAACAGAACCACAATCACTGGTCTGACTTAGAGAAACAAGAAAGCAAGGGTTCAGACAAAACCAACTGCTGACATTTCAGCCTGCAAAAGAAAAAAAGAAAAAAGACCGGGATCTTATCAGTGGAGGTTTAGACTGTCGCCATCCTGACTGTGGTATAGATGCAAGTATTAGCTGGCCCTGGTGGACTTTCCTTCACACTTACAGGGGAATATGCGCAGATATCACTTCTACAATCTTGATCAAGTATCAACAACCATGTGCCAGATTAATATGCACTGTACCTTAGTATGTACAGCATGTTGCTGAAGCTTTCTTCTGAGACCTGGTGAAATCGGATTACTATCTTTTTGTGAATTTACACAAAAGTTATATTTTGTCCTGTACAAAAACTGTGCAAGGTTTTATGGAGGGAGATATAAAAAATCCTGGAAATCCCAGAAGTGTCTCTGATCTCAGCTGCTCAGTGTTTCACCTCAACATGTTTCCAAGATCCCACACAGGCACATTAAAGTGACACAGTTTTAATTGGAGAGGCATACAGCACCAACTTTTCACCATCCCTAATACTGGGCTTTCTCTGTGGAGAAGCCATGTAAATCCTTATCAATTATGGCAAACTGACGCATCTGGCTCACCATTCACAAAACCTCCCACACCTGGTGAGTGAAGAGAGACAAGACCCTACAATGCTGCAATCTGTCGTCCTGTTTCTTTGGAAACAGCAAATAAATTGACGCAGGCGGGCTTTATGGCCCTGGTCCCTTAATCCACTCCTGAATCCTAAATATGCACATTGAATAGACTACAAAATTAACATTCACAAGGTAGTGACATGCTATTTTCTAAATGGTAAAAAAAAAAGAGTTATATATTTATATGGGTTGAAACATGATTTGCGGTGTTGATTAGTATTCCTCGACCACACCTTGGTATCAAAAAATGTTGGAAGAACATTAGAAGTCATAAATAGTAACTGCAAAACAAAGCTGTCGCCTCAGAAAAGATACACCTATGAAAGTTGGCAACCTTAATCAAACCACTATTTTTTTTCAGGGAAGTAAAAATAGACTGAAAACAAACTAACCTCAATAACAGATGTGTGTCATCACTATTGTTCAAGGAATTTAGATATTCTGTCATCACACGCTGAGGGCTGAGTGGAAAGGGTAGTACTGTGTACTGTAACCCATAGTCACTGCAGTATTTTGATGGCATAGAGCAACAAGTTCAGGTGTTAACATCATCTGGTTTTAATCAGGCAGGGGATGCTGTGTAAACAGCCTTTTTTAGCTTAGAGAAACATGTGGCGCCAACAGTCACTCCACAGAGGGATTGATGCACTGAAAGACAGGACAGTGTGGTAGTGAAAACTAATTGTCGAAATGATGCTTTTTACATATGCCACAATAAAATGGGATTTTAATGTGAAATGATGTGTCCCCAGTTGGTATCGTCCAGCAGTAATGGGAGTAGGGATGAGTCCTGTGGATCTCCTGATGGTTCAATATTTGTTCAATATTCTACCATGAGAGAACAGTTAAGTAATATTCTACTGATCTGTGCCAGTCTCTGTTTTGTGTCCACACAGTAGAACTTAAGTCAAACACATGATCAACTCTACAACAGGTGCCCACCCACCAACAACCTCCAGGAATCGACTTTTCAGGTGTTTGGACATTTCTGAAGTGTGGGGATGAGAAGCCCTGTTGTGATCATACAGAGTAGAGTAAATATGACATCTTACCTGCATTAGTTTCCCATCCGCGTAACCGGCACTTCCTCCCACGAACACCCCCTCCAGGGTGATGGGCTTCCCCGTCAGCTCGTTCTTCAGCAGTGTCACCTTGATGACCGCTCGGAGGACCGGCCGCTCGGACTCCAGGCCCGGCTGGCCCAGCACCACCTGCAGGGCCGCCATGAGAAGCCACGGCCAGAGCCCGGCCAGGCGCCGCTGGGGGACGGTCATGGCCTCGGCTGCAGCGGCGGTGCCCGGCCGCACATGGTGGACTTCAAAGCAGGCAAGCACCGCGGATCAAAACAAGACAAATATGTACACACGTCCCACTTCTTTTCTGCCTCGGCGATTACTGAGAAGTAGATGCGATCCAAGTGTTTAAAGCTGGAGGACTGCCAGCATAACTCAAAGTCATAACTCAAACTCCCATTCAGCACCGGAGTTAATATTCAAACTGTACACGGTGCAGAAATGCGCGTCGCTCAGTGCCCACATGGAGCCGGCCGCATCGTCTCCATAAAACTGATCTGATCCCTGATTTAACGGTGAACTTTTATCCAGTGTCATTAATGTGGGTAACGGAGCAGTGCACTCACACATGCACCGTGAAGACGCGTCGTGTTGTGTTAGGAAGTTTGTACTGGTTCCCCGCAGACGCACAACGAATGTCCTCATGTGGAACGCGTTGGCCTCACGCTCCAACTGTTGTATCCTTTACGCAGAAGAAGGGCAGGTCCCGGCACCAGCGATGCGTCGATCTTCACCCGTGTCCCGACTGCTGCGAGTTATCGATCGTTATTAAAAGCAGTGCGCACCGGCCACTGTGCCGCGCGGTCACGTTTGCGGACCGGACACGAGTTGACAAACGGCGTCAGAAGGCAGCTCGTCCCGGCGGCGCCACATTTTCTAGATAAATCCAGAGAAAACACAGAGGAGCTTGAACTTCAAAGGCTTGGTTACAGGTTGCCGCCGGAAACTCATGAGGCGTGTTGACCCACAATGGAGAGACAGAGGGTCGGATCGAACTTTCACAACCACGGTGAACGACAAGAATCAAACCCACGGAGTCAGTACATCGTTGTAGCAGATGGACAGTTGACTCACTTGACTTATATCTCAGTGGCTACGCTGACTTCTGTAGCAGAGCCATCAACCTCTCCTCTGCGTTCAAACCTGATCACTGGCACAAAAAACAAAGAGAACACAGGAGGAGAAGACAGGACGGACAGAGGAGGAGGAAAAAAAGGACATTCCCGAGTCCAGTGGCTCCGCTGCCCCGAGAGAGAGAATTGGACACGATCCTCCAGAGGACAGAAAGTGAGTCGCTTGTCAAAACAATCTTCGGCGAGAAGGGAGAAGAAAGTCTGGAGGAAAAGTGAAGTAAAGTTCTCCAAAGTCCTCGTGATTCCAAAGTTGATCAAGAGGAGAGACGCAGTGTGCAGTAATGTCACCGTCTCTCTCTCTCTCTCTCTCTCTCTCTCTCTCTCTCTCTCTCTCTCTCTCTCTCTCCTGGGAGCTCATTGACTGCCTCTACCTGCTCACTGTCCTGATGCCTTCACGTGTTGTAGGAGTTTGGGACTTCCTAATAAAAAAACAGAAACTCGACCAAAAAAGTAACAATGCGTTTGGAACGGTCTGAGAAGTCATCTGACCCAATTGTGATGCTGGGAGCTCATATATGCTACTGACGTGATGTAAAGTAAGACTCGCAGCTGGAATTCGCTTTCTCTGTCTCCAGTCAAACTTACGTCCCACGGGCTTCGATTTGTAGGCTGCGCCACACAACACTGAGTTCGAACAAGAAAAACAAAAGTTGTGGAAATTTAATAAAGGAGCTTCCGAGTAGCACGTGAAGGCAGCATTAAATGCGGAGGGAGGAGCAGCAGAGCGGAGAATTAGTGAGTGGCTCCCTCTAGTGTCCAAAATCCTACACAACCACCATAGGGCTCCTTCAGCCAGCAGTCAACAAGACTATACTGAATAAAAACAACAAACCAGCTGATGATCTAATTTGTATTTAATTTATAAATAATACTTGAACACTCGTGCCTTAAAAAACACTAAATCAAATGTTTAAAAACACAGCAGCTACTATAGATATATTAAAATTAAAAGGTGTAATATGAATACCACCATCATCTTGACACTACCACAAACAATCACTCAAATTTAATAATATTTTCATAAAATTATTTATGATCTCCACCATAACAGGAGTTTGTTATAACAACTCAACTGTGTTATTAAAGTGCAAGTAAAAATGTGCATATTAGAATGGGGCAAGGAGTTTAAGTAAGCTCACTGCTGCAAATATATAGATGTACATATGTAAATATCAAAAGTTGGTAAATATTTTTAAAAAGACTCTAAAAATGTAGGAAAACCTTTGCTTCAGACTTTAAAAATGTTAAATGGTACCAATGTACCATGGTTCAAGCAATTCTAATTATTGAAAAAGCAAAAGACTTAAATTAATTATTAATAACAAAATCTACATGCAACTACTTTTTTCACAATGTTTTTCACAAGAACTAAATGATAGTCCTCACACTGACACAACAAACATACCCAACAAATCACGTGTGAAGATTGAAGTCTGGTAATAGTGTAATCTTCCCTGACACATCCTGAAGACTCCCTGTCACTTTCCAACATGTTGAGATCTAAAATGAGAAACATGACCAACTATCAGTGAACCTGATGCAGTGATGACTTTTTAACATGCATTATTTTTTTCCCTTTACTAGTTTAACCCTGAACATGCTTCCTAAATATTCATCAGTGTCTTACCTAAAGGTTTACAGCACTTCTTCTGTAGCTGATGTCCTTAACCTGACTGAGATCAAAGTGAATGTCTTCAACCTTGACGACTACGAACTCGTTGCCCTTTGCATCAACAATGGTAACCTTGGCAGGACACAGAGGAAAGCACAGCAAACAATGTACAAATCTTCTACGGAGCTGTTACACACCCTGTATTAAATGTCATATAAAATATAAAGACTGCAAACTGCTGCACAGACCATGTCAGGTCTTCCCTGGCAAAGTTTCTTGCCTTTAGAAAAAGATGAGGCTAAATGTTTTCAGGAAATCTACAATGTTGAAGCTTACCGCATTTATGACATCTTCCGGCATGTGCTCAGTCACTGAAACCACAGATTCCTCTCGCTCACTGTACGTAGATCCATTCTTATCTTTAATGATGGTTTGAGGGTTGGCTGTCATGGTGCTGGCAGAGCTGCTGCTCAGAATGCTATAGCTGGTGCTGGGGGACAGCTCTGACACATGGACTGGCTTCTCTGAGCTCACAACTCTACTTGGTGGAGCTTGCATCACTTTATCAGCAACCTGGAACAAGGAGTTCAAGTTAATGTCACATTATTTCACCCACTGGTTTTTCTTATTCTGTAACTCCTGGATCTCTTCAACATGACACAACATACAGTGAAATAAAAGTGCAAGTTTTGAACACATGTAAAAATAAAACATAGTATCTTTCCTGATTCATCACAGATTTGTTGAGTGTAAAGTCAGTGATTACATGACAGAGTGAATACCTACCTGGAAATAACCATGGGGCGTGGGTGACCACGTCAGAAGCCCATTCTCTATCATATGTGAAGCCGCATGGTGCAGTTGGTAGTACTCGTAGACTTCAAGAAAAAGAACAAAGCATTACAATATACATCATAAAATGTCGTCTGGGGTGTTGCACATTAGGTTGGGTTAATTGGAGACTCTAAATTGACCGTATGTGTAAATGTAAGAAAAAACCGTTGTATGTTGGTCCTGCAATACACTGACCCTTACAAATGAGCAGCACAGATAATGGATGGATGGTTTATCCTGTTACTATTGGAGTCTACATTTTTTGCATAGATAATCAAAAACATTTTCTCAACACACAGATACATATTGGTGCATTTTAGAAAGAGTATAATGTACAAATTAGGTGATGTTACAAAGTGTGGTTCATAAATCGCTTTCTAACTGGTTAACTCAAGTCTTGCTCACATGGGGGATTAAAGCCAGGCAGATACTGTGCAGCTTGAGCATTATAAGTGGTGAAGTCTGGATTCCCATAGTTCACACAGGCCATGAAATCCCCCTGGAGGTGCATGGCATCGGAAGTTGACGATACTCTTGTGTAGCAGTGGCTTGGAAATACAATTCCAGCTGGTAAAGGTGCACCAATATCGAGGGCCCTGCTCAGGTGTCGTGGTGGGGCTGGGGTTCCAGTGTGTGGATTGTAAGGATGAGTTGGCTCCTGATTCATGGGGCCCGGTAGTGAAGTGACTGCAGAGACAGGGAAACACAAGCAACCTTTTAGACAGTATCAGTCATGATCATGGTGTAACTTACATCATTAGGAACATGACAAAAGCCCAATATATGCAGATGGAATGCTTAAGCATTATGCAAGCACAGTTTGG